ACATATATGGCTCTTGATTTATGGTGAAGGTGTCACTGCAGTGGACAAGGAAAATCTTTTCAATAAATGGTCAATAGGCAACCCATATGGAAAAAAATTAAAATTGACACATTTCGCACCACACTTCAAAAATCATGTTTAGGGGAAAGATGGAGGCCGGCAGGACTGGAGGGAGGGTGAGTGTGTGAGAGAGTGAGCTAGTGTGTGAGAGAGTGTGAGTGGACTTGAAGGTGGGTGACCAAACCCGAGCAGTGCAGAGCCACGGAGCAGAAACTTCCTGTGCTGTGGACGAGAGCAACTGGCTACTGCAGTAAGTGGCTCTTCAGGGCACTTCTCCCTGCGCCACGGGAAGGTGCCACCATTTTGGAATATCCCAGGTCTTCCCTGAGAGGAGGCAGTGGGAGCAGCTAGGGCCCAGCAACCTGAGCCCACCAACGCACCTGGCACCATGGAACCAGTGGACACTCTGTGTCAACACAGACCAGTGCACAGTGCTGGAACTACCAAGGTGACGGTCTCAGAAGCCGCAGACAGCCGGGAGCCCAGCACCATCCCCCATAGTAGCAGCCCCATCAGAGTTAAGATATACCCCCAGCAACAGAGGCTGGAGAGAAGATATTCATCTCCAGGCAACAGAAGCACAGACTAGCAGCTGAGACCCATCCCCAAACACTACACCAAAAGCTGAGCAGGAGTTGAGCCCCACAGGGCAGCAGTACTCCCCAGCCGCCATGGCAGGACCTGGGGCTCCACAGAGGCCTGTTTGGTCCAGCAGCTCACAAGAGCAGTGGGAAGCTGGAGCCCAAGAGGGACTGGTGTGATCCAGCTGCCTGCCCACAGGACCTGCAGGGTGCAGGTGCACCAGAGAGGCCCGTGCGACCCAGCAGGGACTGTGCTATCCAGTTACCTGCGGGACCTGCGGGGTGCTGAAGCACCAGAGAGGCCTGTGCGACCCAGCTGTGCACAAGATAGGCATAGAGGATGTGAAAATGGAGGTGGAGTGAATGGAAGCTACACAGACCATCTCACAGGACCAAATGGGAATTACAACTAAAATAAAGACAAATCCTTGGAAAAAAAGCAACAGTAAAGCAGCAGGACAGGATCATATAACCAGGGACACTGTTAGGATCTGCAAAGGTGCGAGAGGGTGGCAGGCTGGGAGCCCAGGGACAGCAGCAGTCTTAGCTGTGAGCAGCGCCCTTGGGAAATAAAGACCAATCCCACTCCATAGTGCAGAGAGCCGGGACAGAGCCCTAAAATAGCCACAGCCACTCACCTGGTGGCTACAGCAGAGGGAGGAAAGACTAGGCTGGAACTCTGTGAGGACAACCGGGATTTGGAGGGCACTCAGAGTTTTTGCTGAGTTGCGGCCACAAAGGACAGTGGCCAGTGTGCTCCTTCCCAGAGCTGTGGGGAAAAGCAACAGCCCCCCATCCCCAAGCCCCTTGGAGAGTCAGCCTTTCCCAGGTGAGGCAAGGAAATGCAAATTGAGGCTCATTAACAACCAGCATCTATTCTACCCTCTGGAAATCCTCTTATGCAGAACACTAGGGCTGCATTACAAGGCACTGATTAACTGAGACTACTAGCCACCAGGAAAAAGCTAGAGGATAACTGAACCTTTCCTGGGCTTGTAAATTTACCCAGGAAAGTAATACTTGACAGTGGTGTTTAACATGGGCCCACTCAGGCTCATCCAAACCGAGTAGAGGGAGCCACAAACAGTAGAACACCAATATATATATATAGAGTGCTCTTACAACTCAACAAAAGGAAGACAAAGAACCCAATTAAAAAAATGGGCAGAGGAACTAAATAGACACCTCTCCAAACAGGACATACAAATGGCTAAGAGACATATGAAGACATGCTCAATATCTCTAATCATCAGTGAGATGCAAATTAAAACAATGAGGTATCACCTCACACCTGTCAGAATGGCCGCCATCAACAAGTCATCAAACAAGTGTTGGCAAGGGTGTGGAGAAAAGGGGAGTCTAGTACACTGCTGGTGGGAATGCAGACTGGTGCAGCTACTATGGAAAACAATATGGTGTTACTTCAAAAAATTAAAAATTGAATTGCCATTTGACCCAGTGATCCCACTTCTAGGAATATACCCTAAGAAGCCTGAAACACCAATCAGAAAGGATACATATAGCCCCATGTTTGTAGCAGCACTATTTACAATAGCTAATATCTGGAAACAGCCCAAATGTCCATCAGTAGATGAATGGATAAAAAAAGCACTGGTATATATACACAATGGAGTACTATGCAGCTGTAAGAAATAAAGATCTCTTATCCTTTGAGACTACTGGAAAGTATTATCCTAAGCGAAACAAGCCAAACAGAGAAAGACAAGTATCATATGATCTCATTTATTTGTGGAATATAATGAACATAACAGTCTGAGGAATGGGGTAGTCCCAGAGACGTGGAAGTGGTGTACAGACTGACAATCCCCAGAAGAGGGGGTGGTGGGAGAGAGATAAACTACAGAACTTATATGCATGTATGTATAAACAATGGACATGGACAACAAAGCTGGGGACAGAGCGGAGAGGGAGGGGGAGGGGGATCAGTGGGGGGAAAAGGAGAAACATCTGTAACAAAAATAAATTAATTAATTAAAAAATCTTTTTTAGGTACATAACAGATATAATTGAGAAAGATAAACCATACATCTTTAAGAAGATAATAGAATATCTTCGTTGCCTGGAATAGAGAAAGTTTTTTCAAACAGACCATAAAAAATGCTGTCTATAAAGAATGAGATTGCTAAATTGTTCTCTTCACCCCCCCAAAAGAAATTAATTTTCCTTATCAAAAGGTATCTCTGAGAAAGTGCAAAGGCAAGCCACAGAATTGGTGAAGGTATTTGCTAACATACCTGCCAAAAAGATAAAATATTTAATAGTTTATAGTAATCCATTTTTAAAAACCTGAAACTCAAAGGAAAAAGGGCTAGAGATTTAATAGGCACTTTAAAAACGAGGATATTATTAATATCGGCAATAGACATGTGGAACATTGTTCAACTTTCTTAATAATTAGGGGAATTAAAAATGTAACTAAAAAAGCCATATCCAACAGAAAAACTAAAATTTAAAAGGCTAATAATATCAAGTTTTTAGAATGTGCAGCAACTGAAACTCAGACATATCTGATAGAAAAGTAAATTGTTACACCCACTTGGAAAAACAGTTTGGCCTTATCTAGTCGATTTGAAGATATGCATACTCTATGATTCAGTGATTCTACTTTTAGGTATATACCCAATAAAAATATGTGCACTTGTCTACTAAGAAGGAGACATATTAATGAATGTTCATAGTGCAATTTTTATAATAGCTTCAAACTGGAAATAATCCAAATGTCCACCAATAGTCAACTGGACAGTAAAGTCTTATATTGACATCTATAAAACAAGGGAAATAAATGTATTATATCTAAGCTCAAAGACATGTACGAATATCATAAAGGTAATATTGAGCAAAATAAATCAGACACAAGAATAAAAACACTGTAGGATTCTATTTTTATAAAATCAAGGAAAGAGAGAGAAAACTAAATTATATTTTTAGAAGTCAGGATAGTGAGATCTTAGGGGAGAAGCCAGAGGATAGTGATTGGGAGGCACACAAGGAGACTGGGAGTTGCTGGCAATGTTTGTTCCTTTTTCTGAGTAACAGTTTTGTGATATTAGGAGACTCAATACTACAAGATGTAATTTCTCTTCAAATAGATCCTCAATGCAATCTTAATAGGATTTTTTCCTTTTTGTGATACTTGAGAAGCTAAATCTAAAATACATATGAAAGTAGAAAGCGTCCAGAACTGTTAAAAACTCTTAAAGAAAACAAGGTAGGAAAATTTGCTTTACTAGATATTAAGATGGGGTAATTTATTGAGTTAACACATACGTTGTATACTTTTGGTATATATGTCATACTTTACAGTAAAAAGAGGAATGCTTACTTCATGGAATAGAGTAGATAGGGATGGCACCATGATAAAGTTGAACCTGATTACCTAAATGCAAATGCAAGGGTGGAGGTTGCTCTTGGGACTCTAATATATTTAAATGGAGCTTGGTTCTCAGTGGTTGTCAGGCCTATGTAATAAACCCTCCAGGCCACTAGAGGACAGCAGAAATAAGAGCTTTGTCCAAAAGTTCATCACTGGTTATCAGAAATGCATTTATTGCCATTTGATGCAATTTCCCAATATGCTAATCAAAGCTATCTTTACTTTTATATCCTTTACTGCAGAATTTTCTTTCCCATACACTCTGAATGGCCAGGTTCAGGCCTATCACCTAGAATTGTCTACATGTCTGAAAAACTATAATATCACCATAGCTAATAATAATCCCTTTAGACTCCTTCTTACTTCTAGCATCTATCTGCTCAACCTCATGATGACTCTGGTTTTCTTTATCCCTCACTGTTGTCTCAGTCCAACCATCACAGTTTTGTTTTCTTTCATTTTTATCCTACTTACCATCTTTCATCTCTTCAACCAAACTCTAGCCAGAATCCTCAAGATCCTCCTTCCTTGTCTTTTTGGCACTTTACAAACTTCTAATCTTGGATCAGACCAACACGTCACACGATAGATTTTCTAAACCTTTCCCTCTCTCCTCCAGCCTGTACCTCTTTCCCTAGAGAAGGAGAGTTCCGTAACATGGAACTGTGGACTCCTAGAATGCCAGAGCTGGAAGGAGTCACACGTCATGTCTCTCTAACTTCCTCATTTTTCCCCCTATGAAGAAACAGATGACCAGAAGATGACCCAGTGTTTTCTATTATTTCACTAACAAATAGTCCCATCTGACACTGCAGCTGATTATCCTTTTAGAGAGCTCTTGTTATTGACTTCTGCTGCCCTAATTTCCCCTGTTTCAGAACCCACATAGAACTTCACCAGAAATGCATGGTGAACTGGCAGGAATCTATGGAAAACACCCCAGAAAAAGAAAGTACAGAACTTACTCCTGATTTCTCGATTTGGGCATAGATAGTAAGGCTTTTTTCATCCACCGTTGGCTGGTACTGATCTGCTTTACCTGGAGAAAAGAAACCTTAGAGTTATTTCCCTCTGGTCCTCAGCATGAGGACCTATCTCTGCTCAGACCTGTCTGATTTTTACCCCCCACCCTCACTCCACACCAACTTTCCCCAAAGTACCATAGGAACAAAACACTGAGTCCCAACCCCCTTGCACATTTGTCATATGACATTAGGTTAGTTAATTGAACTCCCTGGGCCTATTTTCTTATCTGTGAAATGGGTTGAAATACCTGCCTCACAGGGCTGTTGTGATTTCCTTGTGTGAGTGTGGGCATGGAGTGCTTGGTGGTTCCAGCTTTACTTTTATGGTCTTGGTTGATACTGGTTGAGGAGTGTGTGTGCACACGCGCGCGTGTGATGATTACATGAACCATTACTTGTAAAGTGTTTAGAATAGTGCCAAGAACATAATAAATTCCTAATATTTTAAGTGTAATATCTGGTCTTTTAACAGGATTTTAAGTTTTTAAAGGGCAGGGCAAGTTATTTATACCTGTTTGTATTCTTCAGCTCATAACCTATTGCTTCACTCACAGCTTTCTCAACTCCCTGTATCAGTGGGACTTGATGTATGTGTGAAGGGAGTATAAGAAGGATAATCCACCTGAGACTACTTGGAAAATAAAGTTATAATGTCATTCTATTGCCTACCAGATGGAAATTTTCATCAGAGCCCAAAGTCTCTGGAAAGTAATAAGTTGCAAAACATTTTAATTTTGAACCAATTTTATATATTTTTAAATTTTAGAAATAATTCATTCTCGTTACAAAATAAAAATTGTGTAGAGTAAAAAGTATGTCCCTCTCCCCCATTAACCTGTGAAATTTTATCCTTGGAAGTAATTGCTTTTAAGTTTGATTTATATCCTTCCAGACCAGCTCTGTGCAATAGAACTTGCTACAATGGTGAAAATGTGCCATGTCTGCAGTCTAATATGGTAGCCACAACCACGGGTGGCTCTTGAGTGCTAAACTGTGGCTAATGCAACCAAGGGACTGAATTATACATTTAATTTAATTCTAAGTAATTTAAATTTAAAAAGCCACACATGGCTAGCAACTACCATATGAAACAGTGCAGTCCTGGACATTTGTTGCAATTATACAGATATTTTTTATGCAAGTGGGATAATTACATACACAATTCTCCTTAACTTGACCTCTTCACTCACAATGTGTTGAGGACATTTTCCACGTATCTCATTCTTTCTAATGTTTCACGATTTTCTTTGCATGCATCATGTAGCAGTGAGAGGAATGGGGGGAAAGTAATACACTAAAACATGGAGGCCTGTTTGGGGACTATTACAAAGTCCAGGCAGAGGCAATAGAGACCTGACCCAGAGGAAATCACACAAAATCTTTAGGGTACCCTTATTTTAACACCAGTAAATTTATTCTCTTAAAAAACAAACAAACAAACCTAGGAGCATGGAAGGGAAAGAAGATGTGATCCTTAGGGAAGAAATAATGGGAAGCCACTGGGGAAGCTCAGAGAATTCAAAGAATGTCAATGTATGATTTTCTTGTGAGTGTGGGCATGGAGTGTTTGATGGTTCCAGCTTTACTTTTATGGTCAGGGTTGATACTGGTTGAGGAGTGTGTGTGTGTGTGTGTGTGTAATGAAGGATAGGGGTTGAGGTGATCAGAGGAGGTAACAGAAGAGGTACAAGTTAGTTCTCTGAAATATATCCTTCCAGTTCAAATCCATGAGTGTCTGCATAGAGGTGCCTGCCTAGCACTGTCCCAGGTGCTGTAGGAGAACAAATAAAGAACAGACTCCAATTTCTAAGGACTTTTGTTTGGACTTACAGGTCAGCTCAGGCTGATATTTAGAATGGTAGGGACAGTCCTAAATAGTCATATGGAAAAAGCAAGGTTGAATGTTGCTTCTCAAAAAGACCACTGGATCAAGATCATTTATACTCATATTTTGTTCCCAGTTGCAAGAAAAAGTTTTCAGGAGCCAGCTCAATTCGGCTCAAAGTCAGTGAAGCCTTCAGGTCTAATGAAAAGGGCCTTAGAATTAGAGCATCTACATTCTAGTCCTCATTAGCTGTGTGGCATTGAACAAAAGATGTCATCTAAATGGGTCTCTTTGGCTACCTTACCTGTGAAATGAAGCTGTAGACTGTCTGATGACTTTTTCAGCTCTCACCCAAAGTATAAAGCTACCATGACTTTAAGTACTTTAAATCTTTAAAGTGATCTCACTTGTTTGTGGAATATAATGAACAAAATAAGCTGATGAACAAAATAGATTCAGAGACATGGAAGTAGGGAACAGACTGACAAACCTCAGAGGGAAGGGGATGGGGGAGGTCAGAAGAGATAAACCAAAGAACTTATATGTATATATGCACAACCAATGGACACAGACAACAGTGTGGTGAAGGCAGGGAGGAAGTGGTGCAGCAGGGAGAAGGGTGTCAATGGGGATGGGGGAGGGACATCTGTAATACTTTCAACAATAAAGATATATTAAAAATATATTTAATAAAAAAATAAAATGAGCTACTTTTCACAGATAGTTCCCCTGCTGCCTTTTGCTGGCCATAAGACTTAAACATTGATGCACCTACATTAAGAGATTTGTCTACGTATCTATGTATGTATATGTATACATGTATGTATCATCTGTCTACCATCTATCCACAGAAGTCACTGTATTCTGTAATTTCTGTGTATGAACTCACGGATCCCCACAACAATACAATGAAATACATAATATTATCCTTATTTTGCAGAGAAATAAGTCATTTGTTTGGTCAGTGGCAAAGTCTGCAATTGAAAGTTTGTTTGTCTAATATCAAAGCCCATGTTCTCAATCAGTGTGTTCTATATATGAAATTGCCAGAATCTATTTGAAAACCTTCAAGCCCAGCTGCATTCTGGAGATGGAACCATTAGAAACTGCCAACAGAATCTTTTGAGCAGAGTCTTTTGGAGAGTACAATAATTAAGAATGGGTTTTTCCACAGGTTTGAGGCAGGGCTTTTGTGTTCCTGACTGACAAGGAATACACGATGACTAGATATAAAGATAAATACGTGTGTTGGGAAATTGTAGTTTGATGAAAAGTACTAGACCCTTCAGAGCACAACCACCTGAGGAGTAGAATGTAGTTGAGGAAAAAATGTGTGTGAGATTCTCAGCACCTTCCACTAACTAGGTTAATGTGAGTGTGTTAATATTTTTTCTCAACAAGGGTATCTCACTGTTTCCTCATTATCCAAGTCTGATGTGGTTGCCCCACCCCATCCCCTTACACTGTCCACATGATTTCTGTCTGAATCCACCCACTCCCACCTCCTCCCCAGCTAACTGTTAGATGGAGGAAATGAGACAAAAGTAGGCAGCTGTGCTGTGACCTAAATTTTCTCACATTGGAGTGCTGAGGCAAGGGCTTTTCCGAGAGGTTACATGTGTACAGCATATATCTACTTCAGATTGAGGTCAGCCAGCAGCTTGATGGAATAAAGATAAGCTCTCTCCTCACCATGAGAAGGCCAGACAGAGATCTGTGCTGGTTTTGAGGCAGGCCTTCTGACTCTAGTGTGAGTGGGTGAGAAAAGTGTGGTGGAGGGAGCACCCTTCCCTGAGATACTGAATCATAAAACAGTTTGGAGGAGAAACCAAGATAAACTATTTCTAGGTACTTAAACTGCAAGGAAATAATTTGGCCTCAGTGGTTTTAGTCTACCATCGGTGACTTTTTATATTATTTACTTTGGCTTTACGAAACCTCACAGATTGTATACTTTCCCAAGGTGAGTCAGAATTTGTGCTAAAATCTTAGTAAAGAGTGTTCCCTCTACTGTCTTCTGATGACCTATGGGTCTTCCCACTGGAATGCACCCTGGTAGTTGGGAGACATAGTTACAGTTCTCATTTCCTCACCAACCAGCTGGGTGACCTTGGACAAGTCAAATGGCTTCTTTGTCCCTCTGTTAGCTCTCTCTCCCTCTGTTAAGTCACATAGAAACAACTAACAACTACCCCACTTCTCTCAGAGGGATATTGAAAAAATAAAGAGAAATTATATAAATATTTCAACCCTTATGCAAAAACATCTTATTATAATGCCCTTTCATTGTTCAGTTATTACAACTTTTCTTGAATGAGATCCAAGAGTCCTCTGAATTCTGTTCCTCAGTGAATACTATTAAACCTTTTGTCTGGACCCCTTCAGTAGTATTTGTCATATTGAACCTAAATTATCTGTGTATAATCTCTCTCATGTTAGATTCCTATGGCTCATCTCTTTTGATACCCATAGCCTAGTATAGGGGATCAAGAAATTTTGAATTAGACTGAATTGAATGAAATCCCAGGATATGTTTGCTCAGTGTTTTTGCGAAGAAAGGTACTCCCTGAAGAAAGCTAAAGTGTAGAGAGCAAGGTGGTGCATGAGGTGAGAGGTCCCCTGCTTACCACAGAGACTCTGATAAGCACCTCTTTATTGTTAGACACCTACCTCTTCTTCTCAACAGTAGTATTACCACTTGGAGAATCAGGATGACACCAATGATGCCCCCTAAGAACAGCCCAGCATACAGTCCCCATTTTCTTGGTACTGAAAAAAAAGTTAAAGGGCAATCTCAAATGTACTGTGAGTGTCAAAACATCCTACACAGAGCTGGGGAGGATGAACACAAACCTCGTGCCCTCTTTCCACATTTTCTCTCAAGGAAGACATTTATTTTCTGGGTTTTAGAAATCAGCTTTCATCCAAAGGTTTCCATATCTGTTTTCTTATCCTCATTTCTCTTACTGTATTTGACTTCCATATTCCTGATTTCTGTAAAGATTTTTTTCTATTCAAATGCTTTATTTTTACTTCAACTACCACACCACATGTTTAAAATCAAACTTATCTTTATTTCTCTTAAGTCAACCTTTTTGCCCAGTTTCTTAACTTTAAATACTCTAATGCATTCTGTATTCATCGATAAAAACAACATGATGGTTCCATGTACTTTCCACACACCATTCTCATGATAACACTGAAAGGAAGAAAGATCTTCTGTTTTTTAAAAAGAAACATAGTGCTATTATTTACCATCCTTTCATGCAAATAACTGTATCAAACCCACTAGACCCGAACTAAAAGAAAAGCAAGTAGTAAAGGGATCCAAATTGGAAAGGAGGAAGTGAAACTGTCATTATTTGCAGATGACATGATATTTTACATAGAAAATCCTAAAGACTCCATCAAAAATCTACTAGACTTAATAAATGAATTTGGCAAAGTAGATACAAAATTAATGTCAAGAAATCAACGGCATTTTTGTACACCAATGAAATAACAGAAAGAGAAACTAAAAAGACAATTCCATTTACCATCGCAGCAAAAAAATTAAGATACCTAGGAATAAACTTAACCAAAGAAGTAAAGGACCTCTTCACAGAAAACTACAGGTAATTGAAAAAAGAAATAGAGGAAGTTATAAAAAAGCAGAAGCATATACCTTGTTCATAGATTGGAAGAATTAGCATCATTAAAATGTCCATACTACCCAAAGCAATCTATAGATTCAATGCAATCCCCATCAAAATACCAATGACATACTTCACAGAACTAGAACAAATACTTCAAAAGTTTATATGGAACCAAAAAAGACCCTGAATAGCCACAGCAATCTTGAAAAAGAAGAATAAAGTAGGAAGGATCACATTACCAGATTTCAGGTTATACTACAAAGCCGCTGTAATCAAAAAACCCTGGTATTGGCACAAGAACAGGCAGATAGATCAATGGAACAGAATAGAGAACCCAGAAATTGATCCAAGACAATATGCTTAATATTTGACAAACGTGTCAAGAGCATACAGTGGAGTCCAGACAGTCTCTTTAATAAATGGTGTTGGGAAAATTGGACAGCTACTTGCAAAAAAAAAAATGAAGCTAGAACAACAACTTACATCATACATGAGAATAAATTAAAAATGGATAAAAGACTTAAATATAACTCGTAAATACATAAAAATTCTAGAAGAAAATGTAGGCAACAAAATCTCAGACATCATACACAGCAGAATTTTCACTGATACATCACCTAAGGCAACAGAAACAAAGGAAAAATTGAACACATGGGACTATGTCAAACTTAAAAGTTTCTGCACAGCAAAAGAAACAACCATAAAAATAGAAAGGGATCCCACTATATGGGAGACCACAATCGCCAATGATGCATCAGATAAGGGGTTAATTTTGCCCATTGAGTATGATGTTAGATGTAGGTCTTTCATATATGACCTTTATTATGTCAAGATATGATCCCTCTATTCCCAAATTGCTGAGCATTTTTATCAGAAATGGGTGCTGGATTTTGTCGAATGCTTTTCAGCATCTATTGATATAACCATATGATTTTTCTTGTTTTTTGAGGTGGGCCTGTAGTGCTATGAATTTCCCTCTCAGAAGTTCTCTCACTGCATCCCATAGATTTTGTGTTGTGTCTTCATTTTTATTGGTTTCCAGGAAGTTTTAATTTCTTCTTTTATCTCCATGGTAACCCATTCATTGTTCAATAACATGCCATTTAACCTCCATATTTTCAAATGTCTTTGCATGTTCTTGTTGCAATTGATTTCTAGTTGCATGCCATTGTGATCTGAGAAGATGTTTGATATGATTTCAATCTTCTTGAACTTGTAGAGACTTACTTTGTGTCCTAACATGTGGCCTATCTTTGAGCATGTCCCATGTGCACTTGAGAAGAATGTGAATTCTGAAGTTTTGGTGTAATTCTCTGTAGATATCTATTAAATCCATTTGGTCTAACACTTCATTTAGAGTCTGTGCTTTCTTGTCAATTTTTTTCCTAGATGATCTATCCAGTGATATCAGCAGGGTGTTGAAGTACCCTGCTATGATTGCATTGCTGTTGATTTCTCCTTTGAAGTCTTCCAGAAGACTTTTAATATATTTTGGTGCTCCTAGATTGAATGCATATATGTTCACCAAGGTTATATCTTCCTGTTGAATAGATCCTTTTAATATTATGTAGTGGTCTTTTTTGTCTCTAGTTTGGCCTTCATTTTGAAGTCTATTTTATCAGATATGAGTATTGCTGCCCCAGATTTTTTTTCCTTTCTGTTTGCTTGGAAGATTTTTTTCCATCCCTTCACTTTCAACCTATGTGAGTCATTTGTTGTGAGGTGGGTCTCTTGTAAACAACATATATATATGAGTCATGCTTTTTTATCCAGTCAGCTCTTTTTATCAGAGCATTCAAACTATTCACATTTAAGGTGATAATTGATATGTACTTATTTATTGCCATTTTTGTTTAGTGTGGTTCTATTTTTCTTCCTATTTCTTCTACTAATTACAGCAGTCCTTTTAGCATATTTTGCAGTGCTGATTTGGTGTTAATATATTCCCTTAGCCTTTTTTTTTTGGTCTGGGAAGCTCTTTATTTGACCTTCTATTTTGAATGATTGCCTTGCTGGATAGAGTAGTCTTGGATTCAGAACCTTGTTTTTCATGACCTTGATTACTTCATGCCACTCCCTTCTGGCCTGTAGTGTTTCTGTTGAGAAGTCAGCTGAGAGCCTTATGGGGTTTCCTTTGTAGGTAACCTGTTGCTTATCTCTTGCTGCCTTTAGGATTCTCTCTTTGTCTTTAATTTTTGGCATTTTAATTATTATGTTTCTTGGTGTGGGTCTGTTTGGGTTTTTCTTACTTGGAGCTCTCTGTGCTTCTTCAACTTGAATGCCTTCTTCTTTCACCAAGTTAGGAATGTTTTCTGTCACTATTCCTTCAAATATATTCTCTAACCCTTGCTCATTCTCTTCTTCTTTGGGGACTCCTATGATGCGAATGTTATGATGTTTCCAGTTTTTCCACAGTTCTCTTAAGCTGCCTTTCTGCTTTTTAATTGTTTTTTCCTTTTGGTCTTTTGATTGGTTGATTTTTTCTACCCTGTCTTCTAATTCACTGATCTGGTCCTCAGCTTCCTCTACTCTAATGGTTAGTCTCTCCAATGTGTTCTTTATCTCTGCTATGTCATTTTTTATTTCCACTTGGTTGGTTTTCAATGTTTCTATATTTATACTCATGGTGTTGATGTCCTTACTCATGCTGTTGAGTTTCCTCAAGATCATGGCTCTGAACTCTACCTCTGATAACTTGCTTAACTGAATTTTATTTATCTCATCTTTGATAGAGATAGAGTTCTCTTGTTCTTTCATTTGGGAAATTTTTAATTTATACTGAATAAGTCTATTAAATGTGTGGATTCAATGGTCACCGTGAAAAAGCAAATGCACATGGCTGGGGCGTGGCTCAGCATACATGGAACATTGGCACACGCCTTGAAACTGCTGCATAAAATCATGCCACGAGACAACAGAACCAATTAGTACAGGATACAGTGTGATCATGTGCTGATCATTGGTGGAGCATTGTTTACCAGCAGCGATTCTTGGATTTAATTGTGTAGACTACAGTTGTAGATATGTAATATTTATGTATGTTGGCAAAATTACTACAGTGTTTTTAAAAATATATGGCCTATTCACTAAAATTTGTTGAAAATAACAAAAAAATAACCTATTAATTTAATTATAAGCATGTATTGGTTAAAAGCATTTTAAAATTAACAGGATGTTAATTTTCATATGTAACATACAGACTGGAAATTCTGTCCATTAAATCTGGAGTCCATTATATCGAGGTCCACAAAATCGGGGGTTTACTGTAAGTCTTTTTCAACTCTGTTAGTACTTGGCACATATAGATCTTCAGGAAATTCTTGCTAGTTGGTTAAAGACAAGGAGAAATGTTTGATTTCAAGTGTAGAGAAGTTTCTTTACTGATGTCCAGAGATGCTTCAGCCCTATCTTGTGGTTTGCTTATTACTTAATTTCCTGGTCTGTCTAGCAGGCCCAAATATATTTGCACTTGCTGCTCATCCATTTGATAATACTATCTAATTATGATATATAGAAACTAAATGTCAAGGACTCTATGCCCTCAGGAATTTTGGTGAACATAGACAAAATGCTATTTTTATGGTTTCTTGTGGTCAGGTTGCCCAAAATTTCTGTTGTTTCTGGCAATAACTTCCTCATGGTTCTCTGAATCTTTACTTCTAAAGCTCCACATGCTCTAGTCTAAGCTGTTCTGGATGCACGGTTTAGTGCTGTCATCAGTTTTCACAAACACACACACACACACACACACACACACACACTCACACTCCAAAACCAAAACCAAAACCAAAACTCTACACTAAGAATGTTGTGGGTTTGAATCTTCTACTATAGATTTGAAGGGTCACAGGGAGCAGACTCCATTGCGAACCAGGCTCCTTTCCCCCATTGCACTGGTTCAGATCTTTTCTTTCTTTTCCTATATCTACATCAGCTATTCTCAGACAAAATCATTTAATCTACTGCCATGTCCTGGGGGGGGGGGGGTCTCACCTAGCATTTATTAAGGTACTATCTTAAACAAGCACTCTTCTCTTCCAAAGAGAAACTCTAGTAGCAGTTTCTTTAATATGATAATATTTTCCTACCTAGTAAGCTACAGAAGTCTCATCTAGGTTGTCAATTACTGGAAAA